TTTCCATCAACCGAGCTCAAAAGCTTTGAACTGTTCTTCTCAGGACGGGATTTTCTTAACTGTATCTCCCATGGTGAAAATTCACAACGCTACGGGTTTGGTGCTTCAGCTACGATGTCGTCGGCCGAAGCAAGGCGAAGGTGGAGCGATAGTAAGCCTTAAAGATGGAGATATTATTGACGATTCCATGGGTGCATTTGATGCGCTAAATCTGGAAGGGGAGATGAAAAAAGCTTTGTTGTCGTTTAATGTTGGTAAGTACAACTGCAATTCTTATTGTCTATGTTAGTGAGAGTTTTTGCAGGTAATTTTCTGTTGTCTATAAGACCAGAAAGTGTCGCAGATGGAACAACGTATGACTGGTCAGAAGACGTCAAGGGAGCCAAAGCTGTACGAGTTTCGGGACTGTTCGACAAGCTGCAATATAATTTCAAGAAGACTCTCAAAAGCAAAAGCCTGGAGTCATCCTTCGGCTCTGTATTTTGCAAAGCTGTCAATGCTTCTGGAACCAGCACGGCAGGAGTAAACTTCCTGATTCGAACGCTAAGAAGACAGGTACCGGTGACCAGATTAAGTGGCGATCAACAGCAAAAGCGCTCTCTTATTGCATGGCAAGAGCAACAGGAACTACTGCTCTTGCCGACACTGAAAATCTACAATTTTCTATCATCTGGAGTCTACGTCCGGATTAATAGTAAGCACTTCATTGTTGTGATTTCGTCTGACATGTCGTGGTGTAGGTACTAAAGAAGCTCTTGACGGTAACCCGAACGAAGTCTCAGTTGCTGGGAGAGGTGGGAAAGCGCTGCTGTATGCTGACTTGAATGCGTTGTTTTTGGTCATCAAGGTCGATGACCACGGATTTGTCAGCCATCCAATTGACATTAGCTCTGGTCATAAGCGCTTTCAAGAGCTTGCAAAGAAAGGAGGAAGCGTCAAGGATATTGATATCGAGCTTGCTTTTAAAGATGGCTTACATTTGGCTACATTGAAAGTCTACAGAGCTGAGGATGGCGTTTTGGAGGTTTGAAAACTTTGACGCTTTGTCTTGAATCTCATCCTTGTCCTTGCAGCTGGTTATTTTTACCAAATATATGTTGCAAAATGATAGTCAAGTTCCGATTCTTGTTTGCGCTGCCAAAGCGCCCTCTAGATGGTATGTGTAACTTTCTCTCTTCAGCCTTTAACATTTGAGGCAGGCAAGGAAGGCGGGTACAAAATTTACAGTGGCCACCATCTACGTCGACCCATACCTTAATTCCAGGCTCATTCATGTCCTGGTTTCCCAAGTATGTTCTGCGTTCATTTTCTCTCACGATACTGAGGCTGTTAATATTCGATAACTCAGGTCAAGCAATCTTCTGATGAAAAGACAAGAGGAGAGTTCTCAACCATCTTGGATCGACTTGAACGCCCTCTCAGGATCATCAGAATTGAGCTTAGGTGTACGTACAGAGTACTTACTGGACAAGATTCAGTTGGGAATACGAGTACACGTTCCATCCCAAAAAGATTCTGACCCGTCACATATAGTGAGGCTAGCGGCAAGATATACCGTGGCAAATGAGTCTACCAAGCCAATATTTGTTTGTCAAGCTGGGCTCGAGGTGCGTGAGTTCTGGAAATTGCATTTAACTTTCTACGTTGAACAGGAAGAGGAGAGTCATTATGTTTCTATCGATCCTATGTGCAACGCAGCTGTTCATGCACAGCAAATGGACGTCTCGGACAAAGAAGAGAAGCCATTGGACTGCTCAACATTGTCTTTGCGTTTTCGACTTAAAGACGCAGGATGGCGATGGTCCGGTCGCATATGTGCTGCCTCACTTGGGTCATTTTTCTTAAAGCTTCGGAGCTCAAGCCCCGGTTTTGTGGAAGACAAGAAGTGGATATTTGCAGTGGTTTATGTGGAAGAGGAAGACTCGTCGCTGATTATTCATTTCCGATTGCACTCGAGAGAAGCTGTTCCATATCGCATTGAAAACAGGCTTCATACAAGTTCCATCACGTTTCACCAGAAGGTATGCATGATTATCTTAGTAGGAGCATTCTAACTCGTGCCAATGCAGGACATGCCCGAGCCTGATACTCTTCCAGCAATGGCATCTGCGGATTACGTGTGGGACGACTTAAGTTTGCCTCATAGGCTTGTTGTCTCTATAGCAGGTAACATATATTTATGCTTCAGTAGGAGAATGTTCATGATTTTTCATTGATAGGAACACAAGCGTGCAGCGAAATAAACCTTGACAAAGTTAAAGCGTGGAAATCTTTTGCCGCTTCTCATCGTAGCAAAGGTTTCTCGCTGCAGCTTCCATTTCAAGGAAATGCTGGAGGAAATGATCCTGACGACTTACTAGATATGGGGTATGAAGTGTATGCGGATGGACCAACGCGTGTTCTGCGAGTATGTCAGAAGGTGGACAGCACAAAGAAGAGCTATTGGGAATCAGAGTTGAGCATTCCACGTTGCAAGGTGGAACTGAAAATCCCAACCTTCAAAGTTATCATGTTAGAGGCGTCAAAGCAGGTTTGTCCTTTTTAACTAGCGATCCATGGATAATGCTCTTTTGCAGAGGATCGAAGATTTAACCGCAGAAGAGCTATCTGGCAGCTCTCCTTTTACGCCGTTTTTATGCGCCATTCTAGCCTCTTCTTCAATTGAAACATTCGTTACATCGGACCATGCTATTTGTCAACTTCGAGTTCAGGTTCGTGTCAGCTTCGAGTTTAGTTGCCACTTTGGTACATTTTTGTGTAAGCAGAGCCTTGGTGCTGACATGAAATGGCAAGGAGCTCCTTTTGCCGCAATGCTTCGAATTCACGATCACGATCGCCTCAACAGTACGACGACTGCGCTGCATGCTGCTTTTGTACTTTCGAACTTGGTAGCTAATCCCATCCAAGCGAAATATGCGTCCATATTGATACAGGTAACCCATATCGCTGGCTATAACTTGTTTATTCACTTAGATATCCAGGCTTTTGACTTGAACATCGACGAGGACACGTTAATGAAGTTCGTGCCTTTCTATCGGACCTCACTCTCTACAACGGGCAGTAGCTTGCAGATCTACTTCGAGAGATTTGAAATACATCCGATCAAGGTCTAATTCACTTAACAGTTTCACATTCAAATTTTTTTTTGCCTTTCCAGATTGTTGCAAGTTTTGTACCTGGTCATCCTCGTGCAGACTATACCTCAGCTCAAGAAACATTTCGTGCATTGCTCCATACCGTCATAAAGGTTGGTTTTCTTTTTAACCAGGAACTAGTGTTGATCCAGGGTATTGCAGTTGCCATCCGTTCGAGGAGCTACTGTAGAACTGAACGGAGTCCTGCTTTCTCATGCTCTTTTGACTTTTAAGCAGCTCGTGATGAAGTGTTTTCAGCATTATTCATGGTACGTAACAATATATGGGAAGAATAACCTGGAGATGTTTGTTTTCAGGTACGCCATGAGAGCCATCTACATTGCAAGAGGGAGCAAACTCCTCCCTCCTGGATTTTCATCACTTTTTGACGACTCTGCAGCTTCTTCTCTTGATGTGTTTTTCGATCCTGCCAATGGATCAATTGATTTACAGGGACTTACTTTGGGTACGCTACGTTATCTTGATCTCACATTGCATGTGTAATTGCATATTTTGACAGGCATGTTCAATTTACTAAGTAGAGGCTTGAGAAAGAGAGGACAGGGAGGGACCAGCCGCTACCTTGGGGATCTTGAGAATACTGTATGAAAGCGTGTTTAAAATCAGCCTTGCTTAACGCACAGCTTTCTTTTCAGGTGAAGAAGGCAGGATCCAACATTGTTTTCGCTGTAGTGACGGAGCTATCGGATAACGTCCTCAAGGGGGCTGAGACAAACGGCTTCGATGGCATGGTAAACACAAACGCTTTTTTTTAGACACACTTGACATTGTTTCGATGCATGCAGGTTAACGGGTTTCGACGCGGGATTCTTAATGTGGCGATGGAGCCACTCGTTCTTCAAAAAGCCGTCATAAAAGGCGGTTCTACAAGACGTATCCAACTAGATCGCAGCGTTGGCACAGATGAGGTGCCGAAATTTCTATTGAGTATAATGGGTTGTGACGGTTTGTTGTTGCTTCCAGGCTTATATTGAAGGATATATTCAAGCAATGTTGGACGCGCTTTTCAAACAAGACTATCTCAAAGTAAAGGTCATGGAAGACCTGGTATGCATAGTCATTCCTCTGTTGAGAAAGTAATGGTTTTTGCAGGTGATACTGAAAAATTTGCCACCGAACAGCATGCTTCTGAACGAGATCGTCGCGTGCGTGAAAAACTTTTTGATCAGTGAAGGCCTTCTTGCTGGAGAGGCATCGATAGCCGCAGTGAGGTCGATGCGACTTTTGCGTGGAGAAAGTGAAAGAAAAGTTGTCCCCGCCGTTATCTCATTATCCGAGCAGCTGCTGGTGATTTTTGCAATCAGAGGCTTAAGACAGTACACAAGAAAGCTGTTGCATCTGCAAGGAGGGTCAGAGAAAGCAGCTCCTGAACCTGCTAAAGCGGTAGTCACTCAAGAACCTCCTCAACTGCCAAGACCGAGCTTCAAAAGGACGATAAGCAACTTTTTTATATCAAGCGCAATTGCCTACATCGATGGGAGACTGTGCCGGCACATACCGAACGAGCTGGGCAGGAGAATTGTGAGCGGGTTTCTGCTCAGTTTTGTGGAATAGTACTACCGGAGGTACGTCCATTATTATTTTCGAAAGACATCGTGTTCATGTTTGTGTTTGTACAGGAAAACATAAAACTCACACCCTGTTCTAGGGTGTATAGCGGCTTTCCTGTGCAATGTCGCTACTTCGCCTCGACTCGTATTGTAGTGCTTCTTTTGATTCCGGGCGGAGTACCAAACATGTGAGTAATATTTCTAGTAACGGAGGAGGAACAAGGCGGAGAGCTGAGAAACAGCAGCGCAAGCATTTGGTACTGGAATCTTATCGCACGCGCTTCACCAAAGCATTAGATGCAGAAATGGTGGGCTTTGTCTGTAAAACTTTCTTATTACAATCACGTTTTGGCTTTAAACTTTCAGAATGAAGAGATGCAGCAGATGAAACAAAGACTTAAAGTATGGCCGAAGAAGAGGCTCCAAGACGAAGGCTACGCGCTTTTCAATCTATCGGTGCGTAAGGAGAAGATGCTTTTTAGGTGCGAAAACTCGCGACTTTTTCTTATGACACCCCCGTCAAATGTGTTTCAGGCACCAGATTTTTCGTTTCTTCCTGGACTTCGGGAGTGGATTTTTGCCGAGACACCATCAGTTCAGTCAGGTGCTTCGCCTCAATCAAGTCTGGCTTTAGTTGACTTTTGCGATTTCAGGGAAACATTGTTGCTATTAGCCAGAAAGATCCTTTAGAAGGTGATGAAGATCCTGTAGAGGGCGTGGTTATGGAAAGAGCTCAAAGGTAGACATCCAAGCCGTCGTGTTGAAACTACAATATAATACGTTCTTCAGGTTTCTACGAGTTGCAGTTTTGAAAAACGCTGGACAGGATATCAGCTCTCGAGGTCAATGGCGCCTAGACATTTCAGCAAACTCGGTGTCTCACGAGCGCTGCGTCTTGGCCGTTGAGCACTTCTCGTCCTACCACACTGAGAGAGGACGACCTCCAGAAATGGCCAAGAAGAAGGAAATTCCGAGCGCAGTGGAAGCTTTTAGTTGGAATGAGGCTGCCAGTGCTGTCAAAGGCTTGGTAATGGGTGCCGGACAGGTAGAAATAAGGTCGGAGACACTTTTTGGCACGCTGACCAGCAGCAGCAACGACATTTCTCACGACGTTCATGTAGCAAATGGTTTGCCAAATCGCATCAGTGGTACCAGGCTGGGGACTTTCAAAGGCTCGTACCGGAAACTTCTCAAGGAGACAGGTCTCAACACCAGCCAGAAAGCCGCAGTCGAAGCTGCCTTGTGCCGAAAAGTTACGTTGTGGCAAGGGCCTCCAGGAACAGGGAAAACCAAAACTCTGGTCCAGTTTGTTAGGATTCACTGTCGATCTGGACAAGGCAAAGTTCTTGCTTGTGCCGACAGGTGCGTCCTATGCTTATGATTCCTATTTAATTTTTTAATTTTTGATTCTTACATACGCGTTACAGTAACATTGCGGTTGACAACCTGCTCGAAGGTCTCTTGTCTGAAGGCTTAGCGGCTGTAAGAATCGGCCAACCCGTTAAGGTGATGAGCATTCTTTAGTTCTTGCATAACAAGTTCTAAAGTCGAGCTTAGGTGAAAGAGGAGCTGAGAGCTGTCACTCTTGAAGCACGGGTATCTGTGCATCCGCTTCTGAAGAGAGCTATTGAAATCAAACAAATGGCGAAAACTCGGAGGCAAAATAAAAACAAAGACACCCCTGGTTCCTTGTGGGAGGAAGCAACTGAGTTGGAAGGTCGAGCTTGTCGAGAAGTCATCTCCAGGTTTGTGAATTTTGGCTATTCTCGTCAGGAACTAAGCTTGTTCTTCCGAATAGAGCCGACGTAGTAGCAGCAACATGCATCGGTGCAGGTGATCCAGTCCTGGATGGCCTGCGATTTACTGCATGCGTCATCGATGAAGCAACCCAGGTGCGTTGTGAAAGAATTACATTTCAATGGTTTTACGTTGATATTCTTATACAGGCAACGGAACCGGCAACGCTCATTCCACTGTTGAGAAGTGGCGCTGATTGTTTTGTCTTGGTTGGAGATCCTGCACAGCTTCCTCCTACTGTTGTCTCGAAGGAGGCCGTCAAGGTGATTCGCGCGTTTGTTCCAAGACTGCTCTAAACTTGATTATCTTTACAGTGTGGCCTTGAAGTCAGTTTGTTCGAGCATATGCAAGCTTGTGGACTGACCCCAATGTTGCTTGACTCTCAATACAGGCAAGCGTCGTGTTTTCTATATAGTTTCTCGTTTCAACCAAACTGATATTCAAGTCTCGCACAGAATGCATCCTGCACTGGCTAGATTCTCGTCAAGGAATTTCTACGAAGGGAAGCTTTTCTCACAACCATTACCTGCTGAGCGCATGGCACCCAAAGGGTAAGATGGCTTGTGCTTCTTGACATTTGTCTGCTCTAACGTTGATAATATGTATAGCTACGACTGGCCGAATGTGGAGAAACCCTTAGCTTTTGTGAATTGTTCTAATAGCAAGGAGCTTATGCGGCATGATAGCTCATGGCAGAATGAAGTAGAGGCACTCCAGGTTTGGCATTCTTGTTGGATGTCTCTATGCTTCTCTCTCAAAGTGACGATCTTCTAAAGGTGGTGAAGACCGTGAAAGATTTGGTTTCGGGTGGTGATATTGAAGGCGGATGCGCAGGAATTGGAATCATAGCACCTTACAGTGCTCAGGTACTAAATAGATTTTAGATTGGAAAACTTTTGGACATGACAATGAGTGACAACAGGTGAAACTTCTGCAAGACCTGTTTCTTACGCAGTCAGAGGACTTTAGCAAGCTGGAAATAAAATCCGTGGATGGGTTTCAAGGCAGGGAAAAAGAGGTGATTGACTAGGCGGTCCTCAAAATTTGTTCTCTGGGCTTACACTCTTGTTTCTCTAGGTGATTGTCTTCTGCACTGTCCGTTCTAACGATCATGGTGCCTTGGGATTTGTTGCAAATCCTCGACGGATGAACGTTGCTATAACTCGAGCAAGGCGAGGGCTCGTCGTGGTAGGCAATGCATCGACACTAGAGTCGAGCTGTCACTGGAATCTGTGGCTCAAGGAGATAAGGGAGCAAGGATTGTTTGCTCCGCACTCTCATTGAGGTACGTGTTATGCTTTGCAACTTTCAATGCTTGCCAAATGTCAAAGTTTTTATCACATTGCTTGCTTGCTTGCTTGTTGATTCTAACAGAAAAAGAATGATTGAAAGAATGAGTGAAAGAATGGTATCAGTCAGTCATAGAAATCTCAAAAGTCCCAAAGGCTGTCCTCCGGTAATTCGTGCCTGACCATTACCTCGTCAACCTCGTCCGGAAGAGTAGCGAAAAGATTGAGATTGCTACTGTCAGTCACGCTCCAAGTCGTGTCGATGCTGCTGTTGTCCACCAGCGGTGACGTTCCTGCCAGTGTTGCTTGCAGTTCGTGTGCTCCGATCATTGCATACAGTGATGCCGATGACTGCCGCTCGTACTTCCTGCGTCTGATCTGTATCATCGCATCGTCGTCCGCGTCCTTGCTCACCAAGCTTCCAGTTTCCTGCTGAGCCACCGAGAAAAATCCTTGGAAGCAGGCTGCTGCTGCTACCACGTCCGGCGGGAGCGGACTCGGGATGAGCTCTTCCTCCTGAGGAGCGATGCTCATGGAGCTGATGCAATTCTCGAGCATCGACGACGACGACGACTTTGTGCAGTCGACGATGAGCTCAGGTACTTTAGTCATTGACAGTGAAGTCAGTGGAGGATTTCCTGAACTGACCGTAAACTCCTGGTTGCTGTTGTAGATGGAAATCGCCTCCAGCATTGCCGGAGTGTGATCGTCGAGCTCCTCCTCTTGGCACGGAGAGAAAGGCGTGCCGGCGGACGCAAAGTTGGTCCTGGAGTTCGCTCCGCGCAGCAAGCTGGCGGCCTCGTCGTAAGCGCGAGCGGCATCTTCTGCATTATCGTAAGTTCCAAGCCACAGTCGGACTTTCTGAGCGGTGTCTTTGATTTCAGCAACCCACCTACCGGAAGATCTTTGCCTCACTCCCACGAACTTCTTCCGCCGCTTGGAACTCTGGAAGCTGTCGTCGTTGGTTGCCTCCTCGTCGGGGCTGGAGACTTGGTAGAGGTGGTGGTCCTGCAGCGGCGGCGGCTGCTGCTGGAGAACTTGGCACTCAAACAATCGCTTTGATCGACGCTGCTGCCGCGTTTTCCTCCCGATGTCCAAGCGGTAGAAGGGGAAGCTGTCGTCCTCGCTCGACTGCGACTGCGATTGTGGCTGCGGTGGGAAATTCGCGATCTCGGGCGATGATGATAAGTTGCTGCTCGCCTTGCTGTACTGGTGCGGATCCATGCTAAACTTGTCGATCAGTCTGTGCAGGACGCGAACGTCATACAACGTTGAGACGACGCTCACTTTGCGAGAAGGCATCCAGGGAGAGAATCGATCACTCCAGGTACACACGCTAAGTTCTTGCTTGGACAAGCAAGAAAAATCCCTCTTTTTTTCCTCTCCTGTGAATTCTAAGCTCTCTTGCGTGATTGTGAGCGTGCAGCTGATGATGGACGGAGTGATTGCCTAGTTATAAGCCGCTTCGAAGGATCAGCCTGCATCATCCACCTGGCGAGTGGCGAGCGATCTCCTGCGAGAAGCGCGTTTCTCTTTTCTCAAAGGTACGTAGTAGACGCATTTGTCACTTATCGCGTTGGAGTCTTGTAAATGGCAGCTAGGAAATGCAGAAAAATCGCGCTCCTTCCCCGAAGCTCGCGGGATAAATTCTCTCAATATTTTACTTCCCAGGGAGTGTGAGAACCGCAGCCCAAGAACGCGGCAGAATTTTCTTTTGGCTTGTCGCACCGGTCAAAACGAGTCAACGGGTATATCCACGAAGATGCGGCCCCGTCACTGACGGCCGGCGGGAACCTTCACTGGCCGTCAGCCGTTGACGTTTTTGTTCTGTCGGCGATCGCACTGATCATGTCGGATGCTGTGATCAATGGACTGGCTGGAGCTGGCGGTGGTCTCGTCGCCCAGCTCCTCACATACCCTCTTCAATAGGTTTCTCCATTTGTACAAGGAAAAAATGACTTTTTTCTTCTTCCAGGTGAACACGAGACAACAGAACTGGAAAGAAAAGGATGCAAATGCACTCGTCCCGGGGATGTTTTCTGGTTTGTGATTTAGATTCTTCGTTTTTACAACTCTCTTTGGGTCTCTAAACTTTCTGATTTTTTCTCGTCTATTCTTCCAGGTTGTGAGTGAAGAAGGCCGGGGGGGTTTATACCCGTAGGTAGATTACTTTCGTCAAGTTTACACTGTGGATCCATGGCAAGTTTGGCTTCCAGGGTGTGTATTACTACTTTTACGAGATCTTTCGGAATGCGGCAGAGCTTGCTGCAGCAGAGAACGGAAGGATGGGTGTTGGCGATGGTTCCGTCGGTATTGTTTCTTTCCTGTGGCAGCCGCTGCTGGGTGAGAATATTTTCCTTGCTTACTAACATCATAAATAAAAACTTTTCGCGAATCCGATTTGGGTGATCGTTACAAGAATGCAAGTGGATTTCTCCTTAAAAAGTCATCAAGTCTATGCTTTTCATTAGACACAAAGGCAAGCGTCGACGACGATGTGAACATAGGGGAGTATTTTACACTGCATGCAACGAGCTTTGTCAACAAGCGCACCAAACGAATTCTTAATTTCCCTTAAAAAACTCATCAAGTCTATGGTTTTCTTAGACACAAAGATTACTATCCAGCCGGGAGTATTTTATACTGTAAGCTACAAGAAGCGCACCAATTCTCATGACCGAATTCTTAATTTCAGGTCAGCGAAGCAGGGTTTTGGAAAGGAGTTTTGCCAACTTTGATGATGGTAAGCTTTTTCATGAAAAGTTGACAGGTAGGTCAGCAATCCGTCCATTCAGTTTATGATCTTTGAGACTTTACTTAAGCAAATTCGTTCCAACCAAGAACAGCAGAGGTGCTTTTTTTTTTCTCTCATTTTCCAGATTTTAGTCTAGGGGTGGCTGACACTTTATTCGTGAACCGGAGCCGTGTCGAAACTGGGAGCTATTCTTGGTCTCTTTTTTTGGCCTCATATCGTTCTTTCAGTCACGGCTCCAAGCGAAACAAGACACCACCAAACACGCAGCCCGCAAGTATTTAGGCACGTCAAACCCTCGTTTACACATGAAACACAGTTTGCGGCACAGTAATTTGACTGTGTTCTTTTTTCTTTCCCAGGCACACTGGACGCTGCAGCGAAAATGCTTCAGCATGGAGGTAGCATCCGCGATACTGTTTATGATCAAGGAACTCGTCAAGATAGACCAGCTTTGATTCCGTATCGAGCCTCATGGTGAAGAAGTAACTTTATTCTCCAAAGGTCAGCCCGTGCTTCACTCTGTAGTTCTTCGATCAGTAACGACCGTTCTTACAGGAGACGCCTTTGAAATCGCAACCGACAGTCAAACTTCCGTAGTGGTTACGAGCTGCACGGGCTCGTTCCTTTTAAAGGGACAGAATCAAGGCCGCAGTGAGAGCACGACCGGAAGAGCTTATAATCTAGGGGACAGACAGGAAGAGTCTCACCTAGGCAGGGGAAGGCAAAGCTTTTGCGATGGCAAAGGTTTTGTTCAGCAGCTTTCAACAGACCGGCATCAGCGGAAGCCTCAAGTCCGGCCAGTTATCTGGAGTTTTCATCAATGGGACTAATCTCAAGAGCAACGCACACGCGAAGCGATTCCGGAAAAACTCAAGTAAGCGGAGCAGTTGTCGTTTAGGCTTTGCACTAACCTCGGCCTCTTAAATGCAGCCTCCTCGATCACTATTAGCTGTTGTGCTTCCAACTCACCGACATTGGAAAACACGAAGCTAGCTGAGGCTCCAGTAAGTCCAAGCACCGTCGTTTCGAGCTTGAGTGGAGCTGATTTCTTCCTACTTGTTCACAGGAGAAGCGGCAAAAGAAGAAGCAGCTGCCATACCAAGGCATTCTCCACGTCCCTGGCGATCGCGTCGAGGAGCTTGATACCAGAGAAACCTCGCTGCTCGTCGCGGAAGTGAAGGGATGGCTCATGAAACTCGCGAGTGGCAAGGGGGAAATTAGTCCTTCGGCTTACGACACTGCCTGGGTGGCTCGAATCCCGTCCGAGTCCGACTCCTCTCTTCCCGAGTTCCCAGAGGCCCTGGAGTGGATCATCAACAGTCAACTTCCGGATGGATCATGGGGTGATGATCGTCACTTGCAACTCTATGACAGAGTATTATCCACGCTCTCATGCCTGGTCACGCTCAAGACCTGGGACATCGGGCACAACAGCATTGCGCAAGGTGTGCTTCTACAACTTTTCTTTTCTGATCTTCTGGTTATTACATCTAATCGCCTCTGATTCTTGATCACAGGCACGAAGTTTTTGCGTGAAAACATGATCAAGCTCAAGCAAGACGATGGAGATCTCTTGTCAGGTTTCGAGGTGACGTTCCCAATGATGCTCCACGAAGCCAAGCAGCTGGGCCTTGATATTCCGTACGAGACAGAGTTCACAAGGCTGCTGGAGATTTCCACCAAGAAGAAATTGGCTAAGTGAGTTCCTCTACATGTAACATATGTGTTGAAGACGTTTGGTGTTCGCCCAGGATTCCTTTGGATAAAATCCATTCCGCTCCCACGACGTTGTTATACTCCTTGGAAGGCCTTCAAGACCTTGAGATCGACTGGCAGAAGATCCTCAAGCTCCAGTCTAAAGATGGATCCTTTTTGAGCTCGCCTTCGTCAACAGCATGTGTTTACTTGAAGACCAAGGACAGGAAATCGTTGCAATACTTGCAAAATGCTATGGAAGATCAAAACTATGCTGGTAAATTGGCTGTTTTCTTCAATCCTTTGCGCTAATCGACTTTATTTTGCAGTTCCTTGCCATTACCCCATTGATCTTTTCGAAAGTTTATGGGTGGTCGACACCATTGAGCGGCTGGGGATTGACGTCTTCTTCAGAGATGAGATCAAAGCCGTCCTCGACTATGTGTACAGGTACAATGCCTTGGTACTTATAATACTTACGAAGCTCTTCTTTTTGTGTTTGTATCAGCTTTTGGACAAACGAAGGAATCGGATGGGGATCTACATGCTTAGTCAATGACATAGACGACACAGCAATGGCATTCCGTATCCTTCGGATGCATGGATACAATGTATCTCCAGGTAAAAATAGTCTTTTGGTGGAAGAATCTGTAATTCACTAAAGTATGAAACTCCCTACAGATGCATTCAACCAGTTCTGGCTGCCTGGAGACAAGTTTTGCTGCTTTGTTGGCGAATTATCACATGGGGTCTCTGAAATGCTCAACTTGCATCGGGCTTCCCAGGTCGATTTCCCGAACGAAGCGATTCTTACAAAGACTTTCAAGTACTCCCACGATTATCTACTGAATGTTGACAGCGCTCACATGGATAAATGGGCAACGAAGAAAAACCTCATGGGAGAGGTAATGAGATTCAGATAGCTTGGAAACTCATGTGTTTGTTGTTTCTACAGGTGGCATTTGAGCTAGCAAATCCATTCCATGACTGCTTGCCGAGGATTTATAATAATGCTTATATCAAGCACTATGGCATGGATGATCTTTGGATTGCTAAGACTATTTATCGGCAAGTATCCATATAAACCTCTAAAATCCCATAACTTTGTTTATCTCTTTACAGGTTGCCTCTAGTGAATAACAAAGTGTTTCTAGAGCTTGCAAATCGGTATGCTCAACAATGTCAATCGTATCAACCTTCGGAACTGACAGAATTGGTCAAGTAAGCAAAAAGAATTTCTTAGCCAAGTGGCTAATTCTAATGTTTGACTTGGTGTGTTTTTCCATTTAGTTGGTGGCATTCATCGCGCTTCGAAGATGTACCATCTACCAGATTAACAGCGAATATTGATATGCTCCCTTATATTTACTATGTGATCTGTGCAACTTTCCATGAGCAAGAATTTGCCCAGTTGAGAGTTTTCTTCTCAAAGGCTTGTTGTCTGAACACTTTATTTGATGATCTTATGGACTGTGCAACAAGCATTGAAGAGCTAGATCGTCTCCAAAATGTGATTGAAAGGTTAGATGCATCAACTTTTAGAAGTTTTAATAACTCTTTGCTTCCTCTTTTGGTCTTTCAGGTGGGATATCTCTTTGTCGCATGAACTTCCTCTAGAATATAGGATTCCCTTTCAAGAATTCTATAATACCGTTCTTGTTATGACCGAGGCAGCATCCAAAATACATAAAAATCTGTCTCCAGAATTTATTTGCAAATACCTGTCTGGAATTGTAAGTATCACATTTTTTTTATATGGGTTGTTGTTTACATTAATCTTTGCAGTACACAAAACTTATAAAATCCGAGATTGCTGATGCTCGTTGGAAAATTGAAGGATACATACCAAGTTTTGAGGAGTACATGGAGAATGCTGAAGTTAGCATCTCCACTTGGGTCCATGTACTTATGAGCATATTATTTTGTGGGGAGCCTCTAACGGAAGAAATATTAAACACTATTTA